TTTTTTGTTTTAAGATATTTCTATTTAAGTGCTCAATTCTCGACTCCGTTCCGTTCGCCGGAGCTCGTAAATCTGGTGTGCTACAGATTTAGAGACGTTTGCCGTTGTATCTTTGGTAAAGTTACGCCTTAACCGTTAGCAGCCACACGGGGCGTATTCTTCTTGCGGAAAGAGTTTTACTCGCCTCGGCTAAAATCTTTCCGTTTTTCAGTTGTAATTTATTTTTCAGTTCAATTGTAATTTTCTATTTTAGATTATTTGTAAGAACTGAAAATACATATCAGTTCGTAGGATTCCCGTGTAATTTTGACACCAAATATCCAACATACACAAACAAAACGTTAAATTGCTAGCAATATCATAATGGATATATATATATATATATATATATATATATGTGTGTGGAAAATGGAAAAGAAAAAAGGACAGAACAAGGGAAGGAGACTGTAGACAAAAATTAACGGCTTAGAGCATCTCCAATGGTCATTCTATTGTTCTATTTTATTGCCACATGGCACATACAATCCTATGTGGCATGAAAAATGTCTAGAAGGCCTTCTAGATGTAGAAGTACTTCTAGAATGCTTCTACTATTTATTATATATTGTTTATTTCTTTTCTCTCTTCTCCACCCAATTATAATTCTACACATCACAAATGATGCCACAATTCACATTAGCCATTGGAGACATAATTTTTTAATTTCCATTCTCCATACCATTCAACATAAAATGGACAATGTTCCATTGGAGATGCTCTTTATCACCAGCAATGAGGAAAAATAACGATTCTATGATTGAAAAATTCAGTCTTTATCTAATTCTTCATGAAATGATGATTAATGACCATCAAGCTCTCATTTACTGTCTCTCAATTTCAAAGCCAGAAATCAAAAGCACGTTAAACTCTATTACTAGCGGCGGATTTCTAGGCGATCTCCTGACACGTCCTCCCACTTTTTTAGCCGTTGGTTGCTTTGTGTATTCACACATTTATGCGTTTTTTATTTATAAAACCATCTATTGTTTAGGGAAAGAAACAAAATAATATTATTATAAATTAAAGAAAATTATTTTATATTAAACAATATTTTTTATTTTA